GCGCCCATCTCACTCTATAGGCCGGGGCCAGCGCTGTCCGGAGACACTTCCGGGTCACGTGGCCAGCGTGACAAAGCTGCATCTGGCGAGCCAGAGCCGCACACGGAACGCCGTTTACCTTCCCGCTAGTAAGCGGTCCCTATTTATCTACTTGCACTTTGACATGCTTTTGAACTGCTAGGTTGGCAGGAGTTGGGACCGAGCAACGGGAGCGCACCCCGCCGCAGGGATTCGAACCACCGACCTTTCGATCGGCAAGCCCTAGGCGCTGAGGCTTTTACCCACAGCGCCACCCGCGTCCTCCCAACAAAAGTAGGCCCCAACAAAAGATAATACAACTCTCTTAAAAGCTAAAGATAATGAATCCCTGAAGTAATTCCCAGAGGTTTTGAAAATGGAAACCAGCCAATTGCATTTTGAACTATCAAGTCAACACAGAGAGTTATATTTCTCCTCCAAAACACACCCACATCCACAGGCTGCAAAGCGAGTTAACAAAATCTCTATAAAATTTGGGGAGTGAAAGAGCAGGGACACAGAGGCAAAAGTGTGCAGACTAAACTCCACTCCTGCGGAATTAAGTTCAAAAGCTGGTGTCTTTTGTTCTCCTTTCCCCATGTAATCTGACACTGTTAGTTTAAAATCAAGGCAGATTAAATTGCCAGAAGGGACATACTGCTCATTATTAGTTAACATGTCTACTGGAGAGACATTTTGCCATCATGGCAGCCAGAACCAATTAACTCCCTTTGATTCCCACATGCGTGGGAATGAAAGGCGGGAAAACACATGACTATGTCTTGGGACTAATGAGTTCAACTAGGAAAAGATAATAGAAAACTGTGGGGGGGAGAGACCTTGAACAAGTCCACAGCTTGTTATGAACTCTGTACATCAGTTCAGAAGAGCCTTTTTCGGAGTTATAAATTTTATGCAGGGCCAGCGAAATAGAAAGCTCCACATTAAGCACTGAAGATGGGAGCTTCCTCGCAACAAGGTGTGCCAGAGGAACAAAAGGTGATCCCACTGCATGGAAGGGCTACACAGTATATTTTGTGCCCAGAATACCTGAGCTAAAATATATTTATTTATATATATTTATTTTTTGGCACCCGTGCCATTCTTGGTTCCCACCAATTTCTTTCAAACTGTATATATATATATATATATGCTTTCGTAGATTTTCACGGGTACAGGAATGCAGGTTTTGGTGTCCTCGGGTGTCTTCCCGTGTAAAAGTTGGGGTGTCTAGGCGACCTAAGTGGTACTCAGGATATCACTCAAGAAATCACTCAAGATATCCCTCAAGTAATTAAGGAACAAAAGAAGAAAAGGCACACTAGCCTGGGAACTTCCTCTCTGCCCAGAACATTGGAGGCTATACACCACACCCCCTCAACAGTATTTATAGGAACTCAAACACTGAGATCCTGCTCTGTTCCAGTAACAAGAAGCCGAAAGCACCAGCCTGAAGATGACGAGTGAGACCTCGTCGAAACGTCGCCTAGACACCCCAACTTTTACACGGGAAGACACCCGAGGACACCAAAACCTGCATATATATATATATATATATATGCAGGTTTTGGTGTCCTCGGGTGTCTTCCCGTGTAAAAGTTGGGGTGTCTAGGCGACGTTTCGACGAGGTCTCACTCGTCATCTTCAGGCTGGTGCTTTCGGCTTCTTGTTACTGGAACAGAGCAGGATCTCAGTGTTTGAGTTCCTATAAATACTGTTGAGGGGGTGTGGTGTATAGCCTCCAATGTTCTGGGCAGAGAGGAAGTTCCCAGGCTAGTGTGCCTATTCTTCTTTTGTTCCTTAATTACTTGAGGGATATCTTGAGTGATTTCTTGAGTGATATTCTGAGTACCATTTAGGTGGGTCATTAGGTGTGGATTAGTTGCTCAAGCCTTCGTGTCTTGACCTCTTGAACTTTGTGAAAAGTTTTTCTGAGAAGATGGCTGTACTGCACTTAGTTGTGCTCTGGCTTGGCTTCGGGTATAGGGGCGAGCTGTGGTTTTGTGCCCTGTGCCAGTCAGATCTGTGTAGGGATTGCAGGGGGGTGCAGCATCCGGAGGTGCCACCATGGTTTGGCTACTGGATGGTGTCTGTAATTTATCTGTGGAGAGGGTCTGGGTTTGGGTCTGGTGTGGTTGATTGGTGATGGCGTTCTGTGTGCCTCTGGATCTGGTGTCGGTTTTTGTGGGAGGGCTAATTTCCAGATGTCTGGCAGGCGGGACGTGTCGTCACGCTTGTTCATGTTGTGAGGGTGTTTCTCTATCTCGATGGCTTCCATGATTATTCTCTTGTGGTGATGTTCCATGTTAAAGAGCAATTTGGAATCTGCAAAATTGATTTCGTGTCCTGTTTCTTTCATGTGTTGGAAAAGAGAGGAAGTTTTTTCTTCTTTTTTGATGGCATTCTTGTGTTCTGCGATACGTGCATTTATTCGTCTGTTTGTTTGTCCAATGTACGTGGCTGGGCAGGCTTTGCAGGGTATTTCATAGACCCCTTGGTTTTCCAACTGGATTTTATCTTTGGGGTTTCTGAGGATATTGGCTATTTTTTGGTTGGTGCAAAAGGCTGTTTTGATATTGTGTTTATGGAGGATTTTGCTAATTTTATCTGTAGTGCCCTTGATATAAGGAAGGAGGGCCATGCCATTGTTTTCTTCTGTGTCTTGGTTTTTGGGGGGTGTTTCTTTTTGGATTAGCTTCGTAACCCTGTTTTGCTGGTATCCATTGGCGATTAACACATTTGAGAGATTCTGTAACTCAGTTGTCAAGTGGTCTTTGTCAGCCAGGCGTTTGGTTCTGGAGATGAGAGTCTTGGCTACGGAGTTTATTTGTGCAGGGTGGTGGTGTGATTGTGCATGTAAGTAGCATGCACAATCACACCACCACCCTGCACAAATAAACTCCGTAGCCAAGACTCTCATCTCCAGAACCAAACGCCTGGCTGACAAAGACCACTTGACAACTGAGTTACAGAATCTCTCAAATGTGTTAATCGCCAATGGATACCAGCAAAACAGGGTTACGAAGCTAATCCAAAAAGAAACACCCCCCAAAAACCAAGACACAGAAGAAAACAATGGCATGGCCCTCCTTCCTTATATCAAGGGCACTACAGATAAAATTAGCAAAATCCTCCATAAACACAATATCAAAACAGCCTTTTGCACCAACCAAAAAATAGCCAATATCCTCAGAAACCCCAAAGATAAAATCCAGTTGGAAAACCAAGGGGTCTATGAAATACCCTGCAAAGCCTGCCCAGCCACGTACATTGGACAAACAAACAGACGAATAAATGCACGTATCGCAGAACACAAGAATGCCATCAAAAAAGAAGAAAAAACTTCCTCTCTTTTCCAACACATGAAAGAAACAGGACACGAAATCAATTTTGCAGATTCCAAATTGCTCTTTAACATGGAACATCACCACAAGAGAATAATCATGGAAGCCATCGAGATAGAGAAACACCCTCACAACATGAACAAGCGTGACGACACGTCCCGCCTGCCAGACATCTGGAAATTAGCCCTCCCCACAAAAACCGACACCAGATCCAGAGGCACACAGAACGCCATCACCAATCAACCACACCAGACCCAAACCCAGACCCTCTCCACAGATAAATTACAGACACCATCCAGTAGCCAAACCATGGTGGCACCTCCGGATGCTGCACCCCCTGCAATCCCTACACAGATCTGACTGGCACAGGGCACAAAACCACAGCTCGCCCCTATACCCGAAGCCAAGCCAGAGCACAACTAAGTGCAGTACAGCCATCTTCTCAGAAAAACTTTTCACAAAGTTCAAGAGGTCAAGACACGAAGGCTTGAGCAACTAATCCACACCTAATGACCCACCTAAATGGTACTCAGAATATCACTCAAGAAATCACTCAAGATATCCCTCAAGTAATTAAGGAACAAAAGAAGAATAGGCACACTAGCCTGGGAACTTCCTCTCTGCCCAGAACATTGGAGGCTATACACCACACCCCCTCAACAGTATTTATAGGAACTCAAACACTGAGATCCTGCTCTGTTCCAGTAACAAGAAGCCGAAAGCACCAGCCTGAAGATGACGAGTGAGACCTCGTCGAAACGTCGCCTAGACACCCCAACTTTTACACGGGAAGACACCCGAGGACACCAAAACCTGCATTCCTGTACCCGTGAAAATCTACGAAAGCAAATATATATATATATATATATATACCCACTCTGGGACCTTATGGTGAACCACAGGTAAGATATTGAATAAATAACAACAATTCAGACATTGCAAAATCATTCAGAAATCATTCAGTAAGAACACTTACTGCCAATACATAATGAAGGATATTTTTATAGCTGGGATTGTTGCTTCATAAAGCTGTACGCTGGCCCCTCGGCCAGTAAAGCGAGATGAGTGCCGCAACCCCAGGAGTCGTCTGCGACTGGACCTAACAGTCAGGGTCCCTTCCTTTACCCTCAAAATACAATGCTGCATTTATTATTTATTTGACATTTATACCCCACATTTCCACAATAAAGTAAAACTGAAGGTGGCTTGCATATAAAAATATAAACCACAAACAAAAATTAAAAGCAATCCTGACAATGCAAACGATAAAAACTAAATTTGCAGTTAAGAGGGGAGGGGACAAAACAGAATTGTTTTTAAAAACAACAACAACACAGTATCAATATTGTTTACTATGTTACTTCTGCATTAGCTTCTAGGTAGGAGGCGAGTTCTTGGGTTGGCAAGAATGGGAATGTGTATCCACTGCAGCATGTTAAACTGCAACCCTGGGTTCAGAAGTTAGCCAGTGTCCCCTGAAAAGGGTGCGGACGACGATTGCACGCTGAAACAGAGCGGAAGGGCATTCTGCACATGCTTAGGGGCTCTGGAACCTTTTGGAAAAACTCCTAACAGGAACAAGTGTTAGAGAGTAGGGCCAGGGTGAGGCTCTCCTGAACTAAGCCACGCCTGACCCGGATGGCCGTTTGCAAGCTATATGTGTTTACATCAATTGGTGCTCCATTCCAGCGTCTCCGAGCAGCCCCAGACGCCCCAGTGCACTGTCTCCGTCAGTCGAAGTCTACCAGGAAACGCGAGAGAGGGCGGGGCGGCGGTCCCGATGGAACGCAACCTGCGTCACACTTGGAACAACCGCTCACCCCCCCCCCCCTGCGGATCGCATCGCCCACCGCCCGCCCCTTGGTTGCTAGTAGCAACGAAGACGTTACTGCCCTCTCGGCCAATAATAAAGCCGTCTAGGCACGGTTGGCCTAGAGGCTTGAGGAAAAGGAGGCAGTCCTCACGTCCGGCTGCCGTTTGAACACGCGTGCGGGGAAGATGCTTATTCCAAAGCGAGGGAACCGCTCTTCCTTGGGATCTCTATGGTGCTCCCGTCGTGCGTCGGTTGAGCCACGAGTTCGACGCGGAACCAGAAGTGTTTGTCGCGGGTGGTTGAGGCGGTTCCCGTGCCTTTGGGCTGCTATGGGTGTCCCCGCTGCGGGTTGAGCAGCTGAGCCCGGCAAATAGAAGCGGGGAGGCAAGGCAGGTGGAGGGACCCTTGGGGGCAGGGATGTGGAGGGAGGGGCGCTGAGGAAGGAGGAACTCTTTCAATTTGGGGCTTTTAAAGTGCGGGGATGGCGGTGGGTAAGGCGGGACGTGATGGGGGACGTGAAAAATCGCACGTGGTGTGGGGAAAATAAACAAGTTTTTTCTCTTCCTCTCCTAGTACTAAAATGCCCCCCCCCCCGAACGGGATATTGGAAAATTCAGTGCAACTTTTTCTCCCAGTTGTAGAGTTGGAGAGGGACCCCAAGGGCCTAATCTAGTCCAACCCTTCTGCAGTGCAGTTTGCTCCTCAGAGGTTTTGCATTTGCAAGGCGAGGTTGGTTTTAGTTACTCCCAAACATCTCCAGCAGGTGCTTAACAGGCCCGAGCTAACATTCATTAAGCAAGTTCTAGGGCAGCTCCGCCTTATGAAAGATCCTGGATCAGCTGAAGTCAGATTTGGCAGCTGCCTATCTGCTTTAAGCTAAGGGAGGAAAGGGGAATATAGGAATGCAATGTCACCTTTTTCAATAATCCATGATTTCTAGTCCTAGACAGATTGGCGGTGGTGGTTCTTCAAATTCTGGCACTAGAAGAATGTCTGAATTAAAATTTTCGGGAGGTGCTGCCCAAGCAAGGTGAGTGATAGATAGTTTATTACGGCCATGGGCCCATATTCAATACATCATACAGCAAAACAGGTATAACAAGATAAAATCAAGGTGAGTGACTTTTCCCACTTCATCAAAGTGGCACTTTGCCAAGCTTTTCAAGTGGCTGTTGTTGTGTGTCTCCTGTGCTTACCTCTTGTGATCCCCCCTTCTTTTTTGCCAAGTTACAAAGGTTGCATGGGGTTTCACCTTATCACACTACAAGTCGGCAGTACTCTTAGGGTTGTGTCTCTGGCAAATTCTTTATCAGCACTGCAAGATTTTATATCCTGCACTTTCTCCCCACAGCGTGATTAGGGCAGCTAACAGGATGCAATTTGGTGAAATCATAGCCAGTATACGATACTATATTTTGAGGACAATTACAAAAAACAGTGCCTGAATGTACCTATTGCCTTCTGGAGCTCTGGACAATACAACTGTATTCAAATTCCATCAGAACACGAGAGCAGGGAAGGGGACTGTCTGGAGAGATGGGGTGCTAACACAGAGAAGCCCTCTTGTGCATTCTCACCTTCCTAGGCATCCACAGCAATGGTATTGCAAGAAGAGTCTCTTCCTGATTGTAAACTCTGCATTGGGGCATACTGAGAAAGGTGTTCCTTCAAGTACTTGGGCGCCTAGTACTTAAGATATCTGTATAATAGTACCAATACTTAATAGTACCAATACCTTAAATTGGACCAGGGTAGCTCACCAGCCAGCAGTTAAATACTCCTCAGAATTGATGTGATGTTCTCTCTGGCCATCTACAGATGTCTGAGAACATTACATTGCAGGATTTTTCCATGTAAGGGAAATATGTTGTTAATATATAACACAGGATCAGACATGTTACTTCAAGGTAACAGTTTTACCACTGGCCTTGTTACAATGTTGAGATCTGAATGCTTCCTTACGGAGGATTATGGAGCCTTTATTCTTCTCTTCATAGAAGTAGCCTGTTTTATAACTTATTAATTAGGTTTTACACCCGTTCAGCTCTTTCCATGCTCTGCATCCTGTATTATATATCTCCCCTTAAGTATTTAAGAAGGTGAATAGATTAGGTTCTTTCAGCAAGGCTTGCCCTTTGACCCTTATATTGGAGCATATTTGTGCTAAGGGGCTTAGTATCACACTTGAAACTCCATTTTTTAGTACAGGTACACAAATGGCCCAATAATATGAAAAGCTTTGATGCAAGTACTATACCAGCGGCTGCCAAAAATATGAGGTGCTTAAATGGAGACTTCCCATGTGTACTGCTCTACACAGCTGTCATATTTCACAGCTGAATAACTCGGAGAAGTGGGTTTGGTGGCATCCACATGGAACTGTAGTGTTTGAACTGGCAGATATATTCTTGAATATATATTTTATGAGCTTTGTAATTATCTTTGGTTTCTCAATTTTTCTTGTTTTAGGGATGTTAGCAGTAGATGATGTGACTACTATGGTGTTATGCAAGCCGAAGCTGCTACCTTTAAAGTCAGTTACCCTAGAAAAGCTTGAGAAAATGCAACGTGAAGCACAGGAAACTATTCGACAGCAGGAACTACTTGCTCAGCAATGTTCAAACTCTGAATCCATTCAATAGTTTACTTAATGGAGTTTCTGTACTGCTGTATCAATGTATATAGCAATATGATATGCTGTGTAAAACATTACACATAAACAGGATAGTGTTGTAGATTCTTACAAATTTTCCCAATTGTACTGCTCTCTTTTAAAATATATTCAAGTATGTAGTCATTTAAATCCAGGTAATCTTTTAAAAAATGGCATTCAGAATCCTGCTCCAGGATTTCTGTAGTTTTTCATATCATAGGTCAACTTAGCAGCCTTACATACGTTACTGAACCTTTAACTCAGCACGGGGAACCTTTTTGGCCCAGCAGGTCAGATCATTCACCTCTGCAGGACAACTCTTGACAGGTGGCAGCTAATTTGCCTGTTACCCAATATCATAATGATGCTGGATGATTGCCATGAGGGTTGCCACACCCACCAGCCCATCCCTTGTGCAACACTTGGGAACCACAATGCAAGTGGCTTTGCCAGCCCTATGCTCAGCAAATTGCAGTGTATTGGGCTGACAAAGCTGCTTTCTACAGAGATCAGCTGAGCAATTGGGTTTCCCAAGGTTTAGGTTTAGAAAGGTTGACATTTCTTGGTTGACATTAATAAAACTTGTTTCTATACTATTAAATATACCAATATGCTAAAGAGTACTATTTTGTGTTGTCTTGAATTATTCATTTGTACTGTCACTCTTGCATTGATAAGATGAGCAATGAAACAATGAAAACATCCAGTACACACCCTTCTGTATGTAGACATGTCTAGGTTCATGAGAATTTAAGGTGTTTTTTAAAAAATCCATTCTATCTAATTCATACACATGCAGAGATTACTTTTAGAAGGTGAAGTACTGGTACCATAACTTTAGGCTGTAGGTTCCTTGGACTCAGGACTGGCAAAGGTCGTGCAAAGACAGGCTGGCTCCTGTTATTCCATTTCCTGGCAGAGAACCATGCTGCTGGGTGTGGGGTTGCCTCTGAATTCTGCTTTATATGTCTAATAGCTTTTCATGTAACAAGGAAACATGCTCTGCATGCATTCTAACTGAGCCAGTCAGTACCAGCTGTGGCTGGATACAGCCAAAATATTCCCAATCTTCTACTAACTCATATGCAAATTCCTTCTACACTTCTCTTTTTTTACAGCTAATCTTCCATCAACTTTGTCTGCATTGATTCTTACATTAAGGCTTTTAACCATGGCTGCAAACTAGTTTGAAGCTTATTACAGGCTAGCATTAACATTGGTGCAAACATTTCAATGTACCATAATTAGCTAAGAGTGGGAGCATGTCTGCTAATAGCACACCCCTATTAACCATGCATAAAAGAATCAGCAATTTTATGTTAGCGGTGGCCTCTTTTTCTTGCCATGCAAACCCATTTCTGTGCGTGGCAAGCTTTTACGATGAATCAGTTAAATTATTCCAGGATTAGTTCATTGTAGAGTAATGATCCTGGCATACAATAAAACAAACTAAAGTGCACTTTAAGCAGATAACACAAAGGGCCACAGGTAGAGCTCCTCTAGGAGTAGATTAGGAGATGAACCATAGATATACTTAAGAGTAAACGATTATGTACTTCTAGAATTGTTTAAGAAAACATGGCAAAAATCTGCTTCACAAAAGTTTATTTTGCAATACATTCTATCAGAACTGTTCGTTTTTCCAGTATTGTAGAAAAAATAGATGTTCCAGCCACCGTTTGCTGAATTAATTTAAGAGCAAATCAATTGTTCCCCTGGAAAAAGATGAATACATCTTATGATCAAACTAAATTCTTAGATTCTTTAAAACAAAGGAAAAAACTTTTTTCTCCCAGCAGCAGCCAAAATAGGGTTCCAGCAGCTTAATGACCCATTCTATAAAGCTTTGTATAAACCAGTGATTTCACTATAAAAGCACTGTCATTAAAACAAAGGAGTGGCAGGCAGGCATCAATGCAAAACATGGAATGATTAGGTCAAACATATGGCACTTCCAAAATAGTAGCTTATTTTAGCAAACCTCCACAGAAAGGTTGTTACTTGTTCTGTCCCAACTATAGCTCCAGAGAAAAGAAAACTGAAGAATTTCCCTTGTGAACACAAGTTTATAAAACCGTCAGAAGGTATTTGTTCCCCAAAACAAGTGCATCTCTTAAAAAATAAATGAACTGTGCTAAGCAACTCTTACTATAGAATATATACATATATATTCCCTTAAACATCTACAGCTGCAAGAGTTTGTTCATTCAGTAGCTTTCAGCTTTCAGGCGGCCTCCATCTCCTTCACTTACAAAGCGCTTCCTTCCCCTAAAATTAAATATACAATTAGCTTTCAATATATCCCTTAAACTTGGCCATATGAAGAGGAGGGCAGAAAGTTAATTTGCAATAAAAAATTGTAAATCACCCTCAAAGCAGTGTGGTTAGTTATATGTATGCAAATTATAGACACTTGCATTTGCTCTGTTCTATTCGAACTCTGATGGGGGCAAGGGAGGAAAGTTTGGAGCATTAAAGTGCAAGACCCAAAGCCAGGAATCTACAAAGGAGAACCGTACTCTGACATTTAAGAATAGATTGAGATTCCAGAATCGGCTCAGTTAATATCCTAGTTTTGGCGAGGGTTATGCTTCAAAATCATTTATTCTGCAGGAATCTAAGAATTCTTCAACAGGGTTATAATAAGTTACGAAAATTTATAAATAATATAAATAATTTATAAATAAATAAATAAATAAATAAATAATAACCAGTTTCCTCTGACCCCAATCATCCTAGCAGAAGTGGAAAGAAATTAAAAGCAGCTACAGCACAGAAGAAGATTGGCAATATCTGAGAAAGCACAATGTAGCAACAGGAAGACACAAGTGAAATATCCATATAGTCTTACTCTCTTATATTTATATGCTGTTTTTCTTCAGTTGTAGAACCCAGTGTGGCAAACATGTAGTTCCCAGGTGGTCACCCATTCAGGAACTGACTAGAACCACACCTAATTCACTTCAACAAGGTGATTGGCCTCTTGGGCCTTCAAACCACATGCTCGGATTTAGAATGGAAGTTTGGATCAGAGATTCCAAGCTATTCTACCCCTTTAGCCAGCACCAGTCCTAAGACAGCCTGTACTACCATGCAAGAAAAAAAATAATAAGTTGCCAATCTGACTTGATTAAATTCTGTTGACAAACTAGCTAGGTTTTGCACCCCTTGGACTTAATTTGCTGCACAGCTACCTCTCTGACACAGTGATCCTTAAGTATGTACCTGGAAGGACAGAGGTCTCTCATTGGTTTGGAAATTATTCCTGCTCTAAAGCATTCCTCTACAAACCGCTCAAGCACAGAGTATGAATGTGGCACATCAAGATTGATGTCCGGGATTTCACGGTAAATTCGTTCATAGCCCTGCAACATCAAAATTAGAATAAAATTCATTATCTCAGGAATTTTCAGTATGAATTAAGTAAACTTTAAGTAAAATGTTTCTATCTAAATGGGTATGTTACCTTTAACTTTCACTTAAATATATATAATTATATATCTTTTATATCTGTTGCCAGACTTCATACTAATTTAGTCCCCAATATCTACAGTTAAAATATTAGCAGCGGCAGACCTACATTTTTTGGGGCCCTGGAGCTTAAACTGTGATGGGGGCCCTTACGCAACCAACAATGAAGTCTGGGTAACCACTGTTGCCTTCTTCAATTGGGTTGTTCCGTGACAATTCATCACCATCATCATAACTACTACATCTCACATTTTGAATAAAATTGCTGTACTGGATTATCTCACATGTCAAAGTCACTGGTGTGAATAAAAAAATTCCTATGCCTTATAGTTTTCAAGTTATGGGAGATGAAAATTAGGGAAATGTTATATACATGCATGATGCATCATAGAATGATTTGAGTTGTGTGACTCAAATTCGGTCTACAAAACCCAAAAATTTAAAGCAATGTTGACTAAAGTGTCTTCTAGTAGATGTGCCCCTGAATATTAGGTAGCAGGTGACAATAGAGCCACCATTACTAAACTTAACAGACTACCAATCTGACTTTGTACAAGACAGATTTCTACATTCTTCCTAGATTTTCTTTTTAAAAATATCGTTGAAAACCCTCAAATTCTGTAACGAAGTCAGAATTTGTGTTCCCTGATCTAATTCTAGGGCTGTTCATTTAATGTTAATAAGCAAAAATAAATGCAACCCAATCTTCTCAGCTATAAGGATATTTAACAGGAAATGTTTGGAAATCTGTTAGGCACACTTACTCTTTTCATTTGGTCCATAGTAATGACAGCAGACTTCCAGAGGGATTTCAACAAATTAAGCATCATTTGAAAGTTTGTTTCTCCAGTTGATTCCAAAACCATCACAACTGCCTAAAATGTAAAATCAAATGAACTGAATGTTCAGGTAGAAATGGTGGGAAAGTACATATTTTAAGCAAGTAACAAACATAACTATACTGCAGAGGGAAAAGGATATTATGGAAAGCACAAAAACAAGCTTGAGAAGAGAAAATCTCTCATAATCAATAGTGTGAAAGGCATCTAGAGATTTCAAGGAATTTGATACTATGCATTCCTATACTTTGCTGTTCAGGTCCATTTTTGGTAATCCCACAAAGTGGGAACATGCTTTTGAAGCCAGTAAAAAGTATAAAAGGAAGCCAAAGGTGATATGAAAACAGTCTCTTTTGAAATGAACAATAATATGCAGTATTGATATTCCCTTCATTGAAAATGAAGTAAGAGGTAGTCAATGAATTACTTAAGAAGGAACTTCAGTCTTTTTATTTACCAGGCATTTTCTTAGGGAAATAAACTAGTATAAAAGGTACAGGTTATGCAGGCTACTGTAGGAAGCATCTTTCTCAGCTTACAAGCAAGTGTAAAATAGTACCACCAAAGATAAACTCTCAATAAAGCTCCTTCAACATAAAAATCATTATGCTTGTTAAAGTTTGTAACTTCAGAACTAAACTTACAATGACAGTTATAATACTATGTTGTAAAAAAAAAAAAAAGTTTCGATCCTGCCTTACTTCATATACAAGTTCATGGTGAAAATGTGGTACTTCTAACTCCTGGAGACAACGTTCTGCTTCAGAAACATCTCCTGAAAGAAGGTATTCTTTCAACAGCATATCAATCTAGTAGATTAAAAAATACAAAAATGTATAAGACCAGATGTTAAAAAGCTTACAATTCTGAAATCTACAATGTATTTCAATTTCTAAGTTAAATGTTTACTGATGAGCACCCTCTATGGCACAGTGGTCAATGCTTTTTTGATAAATACAAAAAATATATGAATTCATTATATAATGCAGGCAAGATCCCAAAAGATAAATTATGTATTAATTATTGTAAATGAGATATAAATGAAGTGGAAATGAAATATTGTTCAGTACATATATAATCATGAATGAATAATCATGAATTTAATAATATACAATGCATTAGTAAATTACTAGAGGAAAAAACAAAGAGGCATCAGTTGCTTTGTCCAGTAGTTTACCCTACGTCTCTTCTTACTTGCACTCTCACTTTTGTGGCAGAACAGAGGATACTACTCAGTGGGGCGACTCAGAAAGAATGCAAGAAGAACAGCCAGTGGTAGTAGAATACCACCAAAAGACAGCTTGTGAGCAAGT